AGGAACGAAATGGTCGCGTCGCGGTGAGAGTGGCGTCGCGCGCGAAGAAATTTAGCAGGATGCAGCTGTAGGTAAGAAATACAAGAACAAAAGTACTAATAGTAGAATTATGCATAAAATAATGATCGCATATCGATTGAGCTGTATGAAGAACGCTAGGGCTGTAATAACGGCGAATGAGTGGTCAGCGACAGCCTCGTGCGGCAAATCGATTACCCAGAATCGTTCCTAACGCCCGGCTCCCGGGAAGGGGAGAGAGGAAGGGAAAGAGCATCTAGTGAAGTGATCGAATCCCTCAAGATTGATTATACACCACCTTTAGTTAACACTTAGTTCAAGCCGTTAAATTTGCTTCTTATTTGTTGTTCCCTATTTTCAGATTGAATTCGATACAAACCCATTAAAAGATTCAATAGCAGGAAGACTAAAGTGAGAAGGGACGTCTCTCCTTACTGCTCCACTTTCGCCAAGCTACGATTAAAGGACCAACGGAAATAACAATAACCGACTTCTCTGGCATCCATTACTGTCTTAACGCCAACGGTTAATGCCTGTGTCGGCACCATGGACATATCGCCACCGAAAAACCGTGAGTTCGCCTGCAAATGTGTCATAATTGAAAAGTAGCCTGTGAGTTCCTTCGAGCACAGTTTTTGAGAAAGAACAGATATAGGATCAAATTTTCCTTAGATAAAAATATTTTGGATGGGCCAAGTTTCCCGGTCCGGAAAGCTAACTGGGGCCTCAGTCGCTCTTTGTGATACAACTCCCCGTTCTGATAAATCCCCCGAAAGAACTAGCTCTCGTGAAATGGGAAACCCTGTAGATAATATTGGCTTTACGAACCCCGCCCCGATCAAACTGAGAGAGAACGGTAGAAACTTTCCGTGGACAGCATCATGTTGGCTGAGCGTTTCGATTTGCAGCAGGTCCACTCCCAAACAAATTATTCATAGGAAAGCTTCGGTGGAAAAATTCGGGTCAAATACCTATTTCCGACTACTATTTCTTCAGCCTTTTCATTGTTGGCAAAGGTTTTCAATTCAGTCAGCTATTCCGCTGAAGCTAGAGCTCAGTGAAAGCACTAGCGTCGAACCAAAATACTGGAGAGCACAAAAATGAACTCCTTCGGACTGGATACTACTGCCTTTGTGTGTGTTAGTTACTTAAGAGCTTACCAAGTGATTTGAGTACCTCTAGAATGACTATGGTTTGGATGGAGACACTTTGTGAAACATGGCTGGTCCTCTTTTCACATGAAACAATACCTGACGACTGAGTCCCACCACAGTCACGTAGCTTCATCGTAGCCACTTCACAGATGAAGGAAAAATGGAAAGGCCTTTGAGAAAAGTGACTACGATTTAAGCAGATTTGTTGCACACATGGCATATGATATTTACAAATATACCTTTATTGTGTCTGCATTGAGCGTTTTAAGACGAGTGCGTGATGCGAGTGAGCTCCCTGGTTCATTGAATGCGATGTGACCATCAGGGCCAATTCCTGAACACGGATAGCATTACGGTGATGGTACGGATAGACTTAGTGGAAATCAGTAAAATGATCGGTAATTACTTTGATATAGGTCTTATCGAAACGGATTAGAGTGGCAAGCACTTCCTTCCTTATTTAAAATTCAATCGACAATCCGGAAATCATTTTTCTGCAGTCCCTTTCGCACTGCCTCTTGAGGGATCGCAGACAAGCAGTCCTTCATCATTCCCGTCCAAGCTGTAAACTCACCTCCTATGAAAAGATCGATTCCTCCAACGCTAGCAATCTTCTCCTCGTATTCGCGACACTCTTTTTCGACATCCTCCGCGTTGCCGTTGAGTATGTACACATTAGTGGGTTCAATATCGATATGGCGAAAGAGGTTGTTGTACATGAACGAATGGTACGATTCTGGATGGTCCCTTGGTAGGCCTAAAATGAATTCTCGATTATGTGGCTCGCTGGTTCATTGTCTTCATATAATAAATATGGGTCTTGAATTTTGCGTGAGCAGGCGGGAATGTGCGAAAAGGCGTATGCATCAACCATAGATTTATTCAACATGAGTGGCATCTTTCAAAGCGAAGGTTGAGCGACGGCCTTCGGGTCAGCGCTGAATAATTTCTTGATCAATTTTTTTATTGATGTGTTATTCACCGTTTCATGTGAATTTGATATTTTCTTCTTTGGCTACTACAAAACTACGTGACGGAAGCTCTACGCAGCTCTACTTGGAAATTAACATGCTCTAGCGCAAACACTATCAGCGCCGGCAGAACGCTAACGTGGCCTACGAGCGCTCAGCGCTCGACGCTGTACTATGAAAGCGCTTAGAGAGGGCAAAGGGCTCAATAGCTAATCTCATAATATTCGATTTCCTTACCGACGTACTCATCCATGTTGAAAGTAATCACATATTTGAACGAAAGTGTACCCTCCTCGTAGAATTTGATCAATTTTTTGTACATACCTAATGGTGTGGAGCCTAAACAGGTGATAAATTCACTCATTGGTTCAGTTGTAGGAAAGGTGATGAATACTTGCCAGTGGGAAGACCTAGTACGAAATGTCGATCTGGTCCACAGTTATGTGCATTGATACAATTTCGTACATAACGTGCTGCAAAGTCAGTAACTTGCTCGGCCGTATCCTCTATTATCAGTCGCATCTGAAACAAACGATGAATGATGAAAACTTTATTTTTGGCAGTCATCAGTTTGGGATGCGATGTTTTAGGATGCGTCCTCCGCCTCCCTCCCCTTCCCACATTCCGCTTCCATTCAGAATCGTAGTGGTGTACTGAATGCGTATATGGCCAATACCATGATATCCTGACGATTTTTTATGGAACTGGTCAATAGGTGACAAGCCTATAGGAATATACAGTAGCGCTCAAAAGTCTTCGGTGAAATGCTTTGACGCTTTTTCGCTCATAACTTCTTTCTTAGTATACCAAATTGCGCAAGATTTGGTAATGTTTATGTTTTTTTTATGTTTTTCTAGAGCATATTTCACCCTACTCAA